TCACTCTTTCATTCATTCAGTCACTCTTTCACTCATTCAATCACTCTTGCACTCATTCAGTCACTCTTTCACTCATTCAATCACTCTTTCACTCATTCAGTCACTCTTGCACTCATTCAGTCACTCTTTCACTCATTCAGTCACTCTTTCACTCATTCAATCACTCTTGCACTCATTCAGTTACTCTTTCACTCATTCAATCACTCTTGCACTCATTCAGTCACTCTTGCACTCATTCAGTCACTCTTTCACTCATTCAATCACTCTTGCACTCATTCAGTCACTCTTGCACTCATTCAGTCACTCTTTCACTCACTCATTCAGTCACTCTTTCACTCATTTATTTACTCACAAAATTTATCCCTCGCTCACTTTCTCTTTTCACTCTCACTCATTGATTCACCCCTTCATCGTTAACTATCTCTCACCCAAAGGTATGATTCAAACATTCATCTCACACACTCTTTCAATCTTTCATTGACTTACGCTGATGATATTCATGAATTATGATCATGCTGATCATAAACATTGGCAGCGAGGGCTTCGAGACAACCGAACCTTCCCCTCCTCGCTCTAACTCAGATTCTACTTCAAAGAAGCTGATAACTCGATCTTGGGATAAAGTCTAATAATAGAAGACATTAACTAATGAGAAAAAACACTAACTGAGTTGCAACAGAAGAAGATGCTGAGCTAAAGGAGCCGCAATTGGATATTTTATTTATGTGAGATGTTGATGTAGATAGATGTGCACATCGACTCCGTCGTCAGGTGTCCGTAACATGACCAGAGGATGTTTTTATCACATGACCTACATTGTTTCGTTACAACCGTTTTTTAAGACTGCAGAGTCTGGATTTGGATTTGAAATTGAGCAACTGCTGGGAATATCATGTATCTAAGAAATATCAAAAGGTGTTTGTGTGGGTTGGAAGCCTCTGGCAGCAAGAATGTTGATACAGGACTTCCTAGGTCTCGAATAGGCGTCTTCGGGGCGGATACAGGGAGGGAATAGAGTTGGGGAAGAAGGGAAATAGGGTCCAGGGGAGGGATGATGGCCGAGAAGGTGGAAGAGGTAAGGAGGCGTGAGAGTGAGTATCAAGGAGAAGACTAGAGGAGAGTAAGGGTCAAAGATGAGGGCAAGATGGCCGAGAAGGGGTGATGGTCGAGGAGTGGGGAATGACAGGTAGGGTCTAGATAAGAGGGGTTGTAGTGGAGGTCAAGGGTTTGTAAGGGGTTAAGGATGGTAGAAAATATATTGAATCAGCAGAGAGGTAGTTATATAATTACTTTCCGTTTTCTAATTTTGTGTATGTATATTTTTATTAGCCATACATTCCAAACCTGTCTGAATATGCGTGCGTTGGTGTCCATGGACAACATTGTACGGGAATGGAATAGACGTTCTAGTAAGTTGTGTGTTGGCTCTTCTTTTACACACCGCCTCACGCGGCTCCTCTGTCACCCACTGTCTCAATTCCGCTTTTAACCACCGTCTCACGTCTTTCAACCACCGTCTCACGTCTTTCAACCACCGTCTCACGTCTTTCAACCACCGTCTCACGTCTTTCAACCACAGTCTCACGTCTTTCAACCACAGTCTCACGTCTTTCAACCACAGTCTCACGTCTTTCAACCACCGTCTAACGTCTTTCAACCACAGTCTCACGTCTTTCAACCACAGTCTAACGTCTTTCAACCACAGTCTCACGTCTTTCAACCACAGTCTCACGTCTTTCAACCACAGTATCATGTCTTTCAACCCCAGTCTCACGTCTTTCAACCACAGCCTCACGTCTTTCAACCACAGTCTCACGTCTTTCAACCACAGTCTCACGTCTTTCAACCACAGTCTCACGTCTTTCAACCACAGTCTCACGCCTGTCAACCACCGTCTCACGTCTTTCAACCACAGTCTCACGTCTTTCAACCACCGTCTCACGTCTTTCAACCACCGTCTCACGTCTTTCAACCACAGTATCATGTCTTTCAACCCCAGTCTCACGTCTTTCAACCACAGTCTCACGTCTTTCAACCACCGTCTCACGTCTTTCAACCACAGTCTCACGTCTTTCAACCACAGTCTCACGTCTTTCAACCACAGTCTCACGTCTTTCAACCACAGTCTCACGTCTTTCAACCACCGTCTCACGCCTTTCAACCACAGTCTCACGTCTTTCAACCACAGTCTCACGCCTGTCAACCACCGTCTCACGTCTTTCAACCAGTCTCACGTCTTTCACCCACATCCTCACGTCTTTCAACCACAGTCTCACGTCTTTCAACCACAGTCTCACGTCTTTCAACCACCGTCTCACGTCTTTCAACCACAGTCTCACGTCTTCTAACCACCGTCTTACGTCTTTCAACCACAGTCTCACGTCTTCTAACCACCGTCTCACGTCTTTCAACCACCGTCTTACGTCTTTCAACCACAGTCTCACGTCTTTCAACAACATTCCCACGTCTTTCAACCACCGTCTTACGTCTTTCAACCACAGTCTCACGTCTTTCAACCACATTCCCACGTCTTTCAACCACCGTCTCACGTCTTTCAACCACAGTCTCACGTCTTTCAACCACAGTCTCACGTCTTTCAACCACCGTCTCACGTCTTTCAATTACCGTCTCACGTCTTTCAACCACCGTCTCACGTCTTTCAACCACAGTCTGACGTCTTTCAACCACCGTCTCAAATCTTTCAACCACAGTCTCACGTCTTTCAACCACATTCCCACGTCTTTCAACCACCGTCTCACGTCTTTCAACCACAGTCTCACGTCTTTCAACCACAGTCTCACGTCTTTCAACCACCGTCTCACGTCTTTCAATTACCGTCTCACGTCTTTCAACCACCGTCTCACGTCTTTCAACCACAGTCTCACGTCTTTCAACCACCGTCTCACGTCTTTCAACCACAGTCTCACGTCTTTCAACCACAGTCTCACGTCTTTCAACCACAGTCTCACGTCTTTCAACCACAGTCTCACGTCTTTCAACCACCGTCTCACGTCTTTCAACCACCGTCTCAATTGTTGTCACCAACCCTCTCCCCTCCTCTTTCTCCCCCTTTTTCACCTACCACCTCGCTTAAAAACGACATGGCACTAGACATAGTCTGTCATACAGACACTGAAACAAATATATCCAATACAGCCAATGCAAGTCTATATTGTTTGGCAAGTCTAGATTACTGCACTATCAGGAAAATGAAGAGCCTCGGGGCTCCGTTTTATTATATTTCATAACTTTATTTTAACAACTGTTTTATTTATCTGTAAAATATGTTCATTTGAGACAAGATGTTATAAAGTGCCAATGACATCGCACATTTGGCGATTGGGTGTCTAAAACGGAACGTATTTGGGCGGGCATTCAATTGTCTATCAACACGCGTCGAATTGCTCTGATTATGAAACTTGGTTTGTCAGTGCCATATCGATGCTTGTGGGCTTCACCAGTCGTACAAGTCTAGAGCCTGCGTCAATTTTGGCTTCAGGTGACAAGGCCGTATTACAACTGAAATATTGTTTAAGACAATTATTGTTTCAAATCTTTCAAATATTGTTTTCAACTCACTCATCGCAATTCCAACTCGTCCGTAATTATAACCGTGAAGGGAATTAATGGTGTTTACATTGCACCATGTTCACCTACACCAGGGCTATCCGTACATAATCTGGAGAAGACGATCCAATGTGTGATGGCAGGTCCATACCGTCGATAATCAACGTCACAGTGTACTCCGCACCTCTACAGGCCCAGGAGAAGTACCCATAGTACCCGTGACGTTCCGGGTTAGAATTGGTCTTCAGCAACCTATGCAGAAATATTGCTTAAAGAGGCGTAAAACTATACTTACTCACACAAGCATTTACCAACAACTGTAGGCCCCGCTCTATACAGCGACGATAGCGCTACAAGTGCCTGCCCAGTCCATGTTAGAGTACGTGGTACTGATAGTCGTATTGCTCAGCCGGCTTGGTTGAACTCGTGTCTGATGCTGAACAACCTGTCGGTTTCAATGATTCTTATCAAGACACGGGGACGTCCGCTCTTGGAAGGCTTAACGAAGCATTGCTAAATAATGTACATATGTGCCGTAATGAAGTCGAACCTACTTAATATGTATAATAGATACACTGCATTGCATCGAACTCGAATAGCTGCAACAAACACAAATGTGGAGTACTGCAGTAACGTTATAAGGGGCATTGTAGTTTTCTGTTTCGATAGATATACAATGTATCGGCACCCATGATATGGAGATTCTGGGGGTACCATGCCCCTACAAAAGAGTGAGTGAGTGAGTATGGTTTTACGCCGCTTTTAGCAATATTCCAGCAATATCACGGCGGGGGACACCAGAAATGGGCTTCACACATTATACCAATGTCGGGAATCGAACCCGGGTCTTCGGCGTGACGAGCGAACGCTTTAACCACTAGGCTACCCGACCGCTCAGGTTTTCGCAAACACCTGGCATCATTACTATTTGATAGTGATTCCTAAACAAATGCTCATGATATACATGATGTAGCTGGAATCCTACACTCTCTTTTGGTAGATATTTCTGATACATATGGAACGGGTTTTGTCGTTTTTATTTACGATCCGACAGAAATATGAATAGATTGGTCCCAGATGACCTTGGGGATGTGTTTGTCATCGTGCCCTGAGAGTGTGGTGGTTCCTTGCCATGTCATATAGAACAGGTTATCCTGGCGGCGAAAACAACATTCACTTCCTTATTTATTATTGAGTGATAGTTTTTAATGTGTATGTGAGAGTGTGCTGTTTATTATAATTCAGTTGATGCGAATAATTATATTTTTGATTTTATATTCAATTATAGTTTCAATTTTATTCATGTACTATGATCGTGAACGTAATGCCTTTACAAGTGTGTCTCATAAGCCACATATGCCTCTCTCTCTCTCTAACATTATTAATGGCGTCATGTAGCCCACATTCTTGGAAAAAGAAAACATGCAAAGACATTTCAGGATACAATGCACATTTATTTACAAAATACTGTTCACGATATGCCAAAATAGCAACATCAGATAACGAGCCTCAGCGCCGTTGGAATGGTGAAATGATAAAGATTTGCATAACAAAACACGAATGGCTCTCCATGATGGTAGAATGCATGATGTTGTGTGATGGGCGTCATCACAGGACATTTATATAGAATCTAAAATATCATCCCGTACATGCAGCTCTCCGACCTTAATATAACATATCAACCAATAGCAATCCAAGAAAGTCAGTGAATAAAATTTTCAATATAACACGGTGTCCTCTTAACAACTCGTGTTTAATGAAATATATATTTGTAATATTAATAGGCCATCCTTTGTCATGGCAGTGAAGGTATATGGGTGTATTATTTCAGCGAACGTTCAATACTAGCCCTATCACATTTCACGTCGAATACCGGTCGAGCTAACTTGGTCTACCAGTGCATATGATAATGTATTATCATATAGAATATGACACTGGCACGACTAATACTTTATGCTAGGATAATAACGCTGACTACTAGTTAACTATCCCTGAATACTAGCGCTAATACAAATTCATAATGTCAAGCCAGCGTATCTGTAATGAACAAGCAGAGAACGAGATGCAATCTGTAACCTTACACAACCTATCATGTTAATCCAGTAGGAAAATATTCTTGTACATGGTTGAATCGTTTGAAATGATTCTTCATACATTTCGAAAATATACCATACATTGACATGTTGATTTCACATTAATACACATTGAAATCTTGTTAACTCGAAGTCAACATATCGAATTATCCGAAGCACGAGATAACGATGACCCGACGATAGTACGATCAGGATTCTGTCGGTGACATAACAATGCTTCGTATTAAATTATTTCGAGGTAACTGAATTCGAGCTAAAAAGGTTTGATTGTATACGAACACAACAGTATGAAATCTCTTATAATGGTATGTCTGACTATGAAACACGGTTGGGCGAGACTAGTCTGAAGCCACGATATCGATCTCAGGGGATTCATTACTGCAAAGTGTAATCACTCTCGTATGAGAGTCACATATGGTATAAATATCTATATGTGTACATGGACGATGATATTGTTCCGACGTGACATAGTAAGGCGCAGAAAGTCAGGCAACGTTTGTTCTTTTATGACAAAAAACGCCGTTATAAACATACAATGTACATTGAATGAATACATCTAAATTATGAAGTTTCAAGAACAGAGTAACTATGAAACTATGTAAATACCCCGAAAGAATATGAATTGATAATCTAATGTTATATGAAATGGATATATTTGTGAATATTTTGTAACGTTTCACAAACGTTTGAAAAAGTTCCAAAACGAATGAGTCCAGTATTATGACCGTTGTTCTGTACAAAGCTTACTAACACCGCAGAGTAGGCGTGCTTGCTTTTAGGCTAGTAATCACAAAACGATTGTTCCAATTTGTAGCCATGTTGCTGTATGTACAAACTTAGAAATAACAGGAAAGACCAACAAAATCTTTGGCATTGAACAAATATTATCAACCACGGAAACAACTAATAATCAGAAACAGTGGATTATTAAATAATTTTAAATTAACAATGATTGACAGCTATCATCGTGTATATAATAGCGAAATATACAAGCAGGAGCCAAGCACCGTTACTCACAGTCCATAATCTCCATGTCGATTTCAGATGTAGATTTCAAACATACATCATGACTGAAATGCAAATTGAGCAATGATTTTAGATATGTACGGGTGTTTTTTTCACAACACGCACCTCGTTGTTGGCCGAGTTCAGCTGCATAGCAGGCAAAATATTCCAAGCTCTGAAAAAGATAAACGCGAGAGAAACCTCATGTCACAACTCGAGAAAGATAATCACAGTTAGTTCAAGAAACAGGGTAGGTTTCACAAAACATTTCATCAATGTCTTCCGGGTTCAGCGTATAACTACCGGAAGTCGTGGTATTGTCATCGTCGTCATGGCTACGGGGGACTCTGGGGTACCAGCTTCCGCCATTGGCAAATGTCACATCGCTTCCTGTCTTGGAAAGCTCTGAACTGTCACACAGAAATGCAAGTTTGTTTGTCGGGGGAATATGGTTACTCGTGTGCAGGATACGCTCGAGGTTTTGAAGATTTCTTTGTGTCAATCCCTCGTTTGCAAACGTGACCCTTTTCCCAATGCTGTTCCGTTTGACTTGCAGTGGGTCATCAATAGAGCCAATGCTGAGATTTCGAGACTTTCGCTTTTCCTGAAGAGGCAATTCCTGCTCTTTGATTGGTCGAATGAAAGACGGTTTGACTTGTGTCTGTGTGTTGAAGGACGGGTGGAGACGAGGCACAAATGTTTGAAAGGTTGGGTCATCTTTTAATGGCCGGTTACCGTGTCTGTGGCTTCTGCGATCTTTCATTTCCACAGCCAATCGATGTGGGTCATCAGTGCAAGAATATTCCCCTGGGAAGAGTACAAATCAGAAATTAAGTAAAAGCATAAAAATATAACATAATGAACAATGCTCTTAAAACAGTCTCCAACTGAAGTGTTTCACTCCGCTTTCAACAGTATTCAAGTTACATCTGGGCGTGTAAGTTTGACGTTGGAGGACAACCCGAAGTGATACAGGTCTCAGACGGTTACCACTTTAGTAAAACCCACGAGCATGGGGTTAGTGGTCACAGATCAATTATGATAACCAGGGGCTATCAGTGTAAAATCAGATGACCTATGCATATGTATTACATACCGGTATAAGTGGACATGACATTTTACTGTGCTATCTATTTGGTAATGAATTTCCTTGCCAAAGTAAATTCTATGACTGTATATTTCTGTCAATCACCTTCGGATTCAGGCAGAGGGGGCAATTGAATATCTTCTTCACTTCCGCCCCGGCCGCTGTCGCTCGCAGTTAGCTCCCCTGACGAGTTGCTCTGAATGTCATCCATCTGTGGATGCAGGGGATGCTGAAATGTAAATAATCCGAATAAAGATTTTTTTATCTGCGAGTAACAAATTTCATGAAATATAACACGCAAGGATAGTGCTAACACACGCATTCGATTTGCACGAAATGAACAAACTAATAACTCCTGGGTTCCAATGACCATCGCTGATTACAATTCTTGTCAGCTCGATATTTGAAAATCTCTATCAAATTGCGCAAAATGCAATGAAAGAATTACTGAATAGGACATTTCTATTCAAAGTTGGCTCGCGCTGGGTGGAGTAAACATCACATCCTCGTATTTTATGGATCAAGGATTTTACAAATTGAATGAAATTGAAAATAAACAGACGATCGTTTGCAAATTTGTATCCACTATGGGACCATACCAGTTACTACATGCCTCTTTAATAGCGTAACATCTCCGTGCTTATGTCCCATCTAAGGGCAGGAAATTCTGGAGCTGGGTTGGCCAATGCCAAGATATAATGATCGATTCTCTATAACGACACCAATTTTCAAAGAAAATCCCCCTTGAATCATATCCGACTGGTTTTGTATGTGTTGTACAAATCCTCCATTTTATTTCATTTTCAATAGATCCTGGTTTTAGACAAACGACATGTTTGCTTTTCGCTCTTACAATCTCGCATGATAATGCAACAGCCTGAAGCTATGCTCACATGCGCCATTTTAAACTTGTGTTCGATTTCATAACACGCGCCTACAAAGAAACGTCCATTCCTACGAAAAGCCGAAACAATGAGTCAGGGTGTTCGACCTTTTGAGACGAACGGGACACCCTATAACATCCCCTATTCTGCAGCTCCTTCTCGAGAAGGTTCAACTTCTCCTAATGCATCAATATTGAGTGATAATGATCCATAGCTGCATGGCGAGGAGCTCAGAAATATAAGAGTTCTTAATGATAAAAGGTCCATACCACAATCAGACCGAGCGAAGAAGATTTTATCAATATGGTGAGAGCACCGGTGAAAAATTGGTCAATTCACCCTCTGGTGTAGACTGAGCAGATTGATGACTCCGTTTCTACCTTTATTGACGCATACTGTGGTGCTATTCTGTCAGACATATTGTCGTTATTGGAACTGACAAGGTACTATTGTCATCTTATAGACTGGCTAAATGGCAAAGGAACCCACGCTTAGATAGACATAGACATATCCGTGCCTCGCTAGCACAAGAGGATCAATAATTCTCGATGGAAAGAAACGTTCAACAAATATAAAGCTGTTTGAATTGTTAATCGGCAATTATCACTTGAAATATCTGAAAACACTGCTCTTAAAATATGAATATGACTCAGTTTCCCGCTAATGTGCAGTTAAAGTAGAACATTTCCAATAAAGATATTGGACATATAAAACAATGAATAAGTATATATTCTTTATAGACTGTTAGTATTATTGAAATACAATATCTAAAAAATACATCCTATTACAATGGTTGCTTTGAGCAGTTTATCACTGTACCATGAAGTGACATTTAGCAAGACGTGGAAACGCCATGCTGAACAAAAATATCGAAATCCACAAGTCAATATAAAACAGAAAGAAACGTGACCTACAAAAAGAGTTTTCAGCTGTAATGGTCTTGGGGCGTTTTCCTATCATATTGCGTGACATCTTCTTATATTAGATTTGTCCGTCCCAAAAACATAAAATTCAGCAAAATGGCCATCGAGTCCCCGACATGTGCTGACTGTTTTCAGTCACCTTCCATTGACGTTACATGGATGAAACGTTTGGCCTTTCATGACTCTTTTACCCTGCAGGTTACTTTTCGTTTTGTTTTCAATTATTACTTTAATGTTCATATTCAAAATACATTATTCAAAATGCTGGCACGCTTTAGTGATCCCAACCATAACTCAACCTTTGCAAACAGCTGACGACTTACACATAAGTATCCAAGCAAGGGCTCTCTCGTTGCATCGGTCCTTAATACACGATATTTGTTCGAACAGTTTCAATGGTATATTGAAAGTCTTCATTAACATGTGCATGAATTCACTTGTTTCATTCATAGGGCAATATTTTAGCCTTAAACATATATAGTTTAAATTAGCCCTAATCAAGATGTAATATAACCGATCCTATTTCTTTAAGCACCGTCATAAACAAACAAAATTAATATTTTACATAGAACCTTTCTTCAGATAAAGTATTATGTTTCTAACAATTATCTAAAACGTTTACAGTTCAATCAAAAGAACACTTACATCATAATATATTCCCGACATCCTTTTTAGCCTATGACTGTAAAAACATATCTTTCCTATTTATATACTTCGTTATATTTACTGCCATGTATATTTTATTGATATAGAAATGACCCAGTTCACTTTGATGAAATTTAATACATGCTTCACTGAAACAAAATGTTAATAAATTCAAAACACTTTTTGAGGAACTAAAATGTCTTCAAACGACGCCGTGTCTAACTTTATATAAAAACTGTTTCCTTTCAACAATTCAATTCAAAAATAAAAGTAAACTTGCCACGAATAATGATTGTAAGACACTTTTGGGGAAAAAATCCACACAGAAAAAAATGGCATTCGGACTGAATATGTGAGCTGACCCTTATAATTAAAGAGCTCTGTGTAATGCGATCCGCCGAGAGGCGAACAACAGACGGAAAAAAGCTACTGATTCTTCAATGTCCAAGGTCTCAGCGAATGAAATGGTAAAATGTATTAATACACATGTCCAAGAGGCCGCAGTGTCGGCAACATCTCCTACAGCATCATCATCGTTACACACAGCCATTAGCTCAGGCAGTTGCGCTCGAGGAAAATAGGAGACCTCACTACAAAAAGTTCAATGGCGCAATAACAAAAGTTTATCTCTGAAGGGACATACTATGATTGGTTTCAACATGAGGTACTAATATATACTTGCTACTTAATGGAGAACGGTAGTCGTTTGAGATGATGTTTCAAAATCTGAATGTTTTGTGTAAGCCTCCTAACGAATGATTCCTTGCCGTTTCAAAGTTTAAGCTGTAACTGGACAGAGTATTTGTTCTCGAATTATAATCCGAGCTTAAAGTACTTACATTTTTTTGTCCCCAAGCTATGACTTTAAAATCTATCCTAAAGTATTGTTCAATCTCCTGGTACATATAGACAGCGCCAGCAGCGCACTTACGCTATATATGATACAGGCTTATTGCGATTACATGCGTGGGGTATATTTATCGCGTTTCTGAACATCCATCTTATCAAGCCGTCTTCTTGAAGTCTCCTTCACGCGGTAAAGTTCAAATTGATTTAAAAGTGATTTCATTTGTTTTCCGAGGAATGTTCGACTGTGCGGAAATCTTATTTTCAAATAAGCGGAATCAAAGCGAAGCATTTTTCTTCATTAAAATATACCCGATCTTTGATGTCAACGTTTCATTTAAATTTCTAATGAGATTTCATTCAATCTGCTCACACTACTACCTATTTTAACAGTCTCGCTGAAGTTAATTCTATTTAAATCTCAAGACTGCTTTTAAACGAGGATGAGTCTGAAAGATGGTGTGATACGCCGTGTCGAACGTCCACCCTTCTGGTGAATGTGTCGGTTGATACAAAAAGATGAAAGCGGACTGAGGAATCATGATCCGGCCATTCAACGGATTAGGCACCTTATCTACAATTGCCATCCTCTAGATGGTACCAATCGCTTGTAATTTAAACAACCGCGTCAAATAAATTGCAAACACTTGGTGTTATCTATTGAATTATTGTGCAAGAAGATGGGATATAATTATAGTCAATCTGGCGACGTTTATCAAATCAACGACGCTACACATACGCCCTCATCGAACGTAACCACGTTATCACGGGGGTAATGGGCCCCATCGTCTGCGGATCTAAACTTGGATTCGCGTTTCCTTTTTTCTATTTTTTGCACAGACAGTTTATCCTAGCTTTAATATTTGCACTGTCATGATTTCAGTCACATGCGCGCACCGTCTTCATAATTCGAGATTTGACGATATTTGCACACTTTAACGAAAGTCAACACAAAATGGCGGTATTTCCTCGTTGGCTGGAGAATAATCCCATGCTTCGCACAGCTGCGGCTTAAAGAGGTATTTGGTCTGACGGTTTACACTTGGGATACGGAATGATTGCTCAGAAAGCTATGGAACGGGTTCGGTACATATACAAAAGTGGATTTCTTTCACAACTGAGCCCCTTCAGACTTAGAAAGATAATGTTGAAATTTAAAAAAAACGCACTCGTAAATTCATCAGTGATTGGATAGGATCGAATACCTAGAAGTTTGTGTACATAAGATTATTTCAACATTGAGTTTTTACTATCAAAGCGTCTTTTAAGAATAGTAAAATAAATAATGATCTTAAATGGCATAGAGTAGCAATTCATCTGAACGAAACTTTTCAAAAGACTCATTTCAGAGCTAAATCCTTTCCTTAGAAAGATCTAACCGCTTTGATACCTACTGTCACAGCGTACTAAGACATGTTCTGAAATTACTGTAATGTATTCGTGATACGAGCAATCACTCACGGGTGTCAAAAGTGTTATCTATCGCAATCTATACGCTGAGATAAGATGTTGCACCCAAACAATCACTTAACGTAAAGGGTCAACAATAACCTGCCACGAAATAGACAAAGACTGACAGCTATCGACAAGCTCTTCAAGTACAGCGTATCGCTACGCCATCTCACCACTGTTTGCTTTCGTCGCTTTAAGTGAAAGCATCCCAGCTGGTATAACGCCGTATCTTCCCCGGATCGCTATTACGCAACATGGATCGCTATCCAGAGATTTAATATCCTGAATCTGATTAGAGGGCTTCGCGAGTCTCTCTCGGCACGTAATAATTAGAAGGATGTCTCGGCAAGGCACAAGAAATTTTGATCATCGGATCAGTGCGTGTCGACTCGTCCACATCCCCCTTGATGTCGAATAGGAATTTGTAAACATACTTTTTTGTAATTATTTGAGATAATTGGGGTTACTATGTCAATGAC